AGCGGATTTAACAAGCGCTTTAAAGTTAACGTGAGTCAGCACTATAATTATAATATATATATATACAGTATAATTTTCAAATCATAAGGGAACGAATGGATGCAGGTTGCATTACTGTACATTATTTATCTCTATGGTAAAATGATGGTATGGAAAATTAAATTAAGTTAAAATGTTTCTCTCTCCTATAGTGCCTTTGTTGCCGCTGGTCTCCTCAGTAGCAGGTGGGGGTCTGCTGCTGCTCCTGCTGGTCTTGGTGGTTTGTTTGGTTGTCAGGAGAAGAAGACGAGCCAAGCAGCCAGAAACCCTCGTCCAAACTCAATGTGTGTGCTCACCAGGAAAAATAGTACATGACATAAAAAAAGACTGGTTCTGTTTTGTTTTTCATTTCTCAAAATACACTTCCACCCAATGTTTGTGCTTGACTGCTTGTAAAGATTTGATTCTGACATTCATGAAACATTTTGTCCTGATGCTTGTGTTTCAGTGTCTGTCAGAAGCAGCAACTATTATGACGATCATGAGAAGGAGGAGGACTATGTGAATGTTTATTCAGTATGCACCAAGGGGAAACTCAAAGAGGAAGCAGGGAGAGGGGAAGAAGAGGAGAGTGATGAAGATCATGATTATGAGGATGCTGGCCCCAATGCAAATTCTATAAAGGACACAGTGGTCTGTTTCAGTGTAAAGGACAACAGAGAAGAAGAACAAGCAGAAGAAAAAGAAGAAGGAAGCAGAGATGATGAAGATAACTATGTAAATGTAACCCAGCCATTTGTTGAAGAAAATGTGGACATTTATGGAGAAAATGAAGATTTAGATATATATTAACTACCATCCACTGCTGTAGATCAAATTTGTTTAAAATATTTTAATAAATCAGATGAGTCAAAAACAACTATACACTTGGTTTTTTATAAGCCAATCTGTAGCTTCCTTTAGTTTTACCAAGTTATTGTAGGCGTGGCCTGTTAGACATAAACTCTGTGCAAAACATGTGCATATAATCTTTCATTGTCGTCCAGGTGCTGAGACCAAAACTGATTCTGTCCTCCGAGGGCTCGCAGCCCAGTTCTGGACTTGGATTTTGCCAGTTTCTACTACCTGAGAGTTTTGTTCATGCATGCTGTTTTGGATTAAAATCCCCTGAACTGTATGTCTGCTCTCCAGTGTCGTGCATTTGGGTTCTCTCCTGCTTGGCGTTCACCTCAAACCGTGACGTAAATCCATGACATGAGTTGCTCTTCAGGATCCTACTCTGGCATTAATCCAGAGAATTTGAGCAGGAAGTCTGCATTTTGCATTAAATAATATAAATTTAATAGGGTTGTTTTGTTTCAAATCAATACAACAATGGAATTATAAAAAACATAATGATGTTTGAGGTGGTAATGCAACTTTGTGACCTTCAAATAGGCCTACATGTAATTCATTCGCGTTTACATTATAGTATATAAAAGTTTATATTCTCTTAAGCCTAAATCATTTTATATAGGGATCAACTACCAAGCGAATGATCAAATGGAAGTTAATGCCTTTTACCTTAACATGACCCCTTGTTATTTTGCAGGCAATGCAAAGGCAGAGTACATTCATTTTCAAATTAGGGTCAAAGGTCATGTTTGAGAACAAGATTTTTATGTAGAAAAATGACTATTATAAAACAATGATTTGCCGCATTTCCAATATTCTACCTACAATTCATTTGACTGTACAACAAAACAACGTTAAAGTTTTCTCAGTTCTACACTCATTCTACATTCTATTTTGCCTTTGTAGGGCAGGACAAATAATCAATGTATGATGGAATCTGACTAGCTGGTGAGCATAATGGTGCATTTAGCTAAAGAACCAGATGGATAAATGCTAATATTGACTCCATATGAGCTGGATATGTAAACAGGCTCTTCACTAACACATTTGTCATATCATCTTTATCTCACACGTTGAAACAAAACATGTGAGATATAAAGTTGATATGGCATCAACTTGTTCTGCAGCCAACGAATCCATTAATAGAGTTTTAATCACATGAAGAGGTCGTAAACTGTGCACTGTTGTCCTGGAACCCTCCTGTCTAACACTTATGATGAAAAATCCATCCAACTCATGCTTTTCAACAAACACCCCTCATGCATACACTGTGGGAGCATAATTAAATATTTAGATGCTAGGATCCACTTTTCTGACAAAAAAAAGCAACATACGACAAACTGTGTCCTTTTATTTCTCTCACTTTTGCTGTCTTGTTCTTAGTTTTTTTGGGCCAGAAATGAAAGGGCCAAACACATTTTCAAATGCATGAAATTGTTGAAAAGGGGCATTTTGAAGAAGTGATACTCCTCATGACCCAGTCTTTAAAGAGGGGAGGTTTGTGTTAATGAGTTCGTATTATTTGAACAGGAACCAGTCAATCATCTATTTTCCATTTACTGGTTGGGCTGTGAACTGCTAATCTTCTTTCTTGTATGTAGCAGAAAGAAGATTAGCTCAAGGTTAGCACAATGTTCTCATTGTGGTATAGACAATGAGATGCGGTGACACTTCTTCTTTCTGCAGAAAGAAAAACAAAAACAAAAACATATACCCACATACATATATAATAGTGTTTGATATCATTGGATGCAACATTTCACAGCATATCAGACTCAGAAACAGCTTTATTGCCAAGTAGTTTTACACATACAGGAATTTGATTTGGTGACAAGGTGTTTATTATAAATATTTGTACCACTAGCAAACAAAACAGATTTCAATTGAATCTCAGGAGAACAGTACTGTATATAATTAAAAAGACGGATAATTTCAGATTATGTATCATATTTGCTACATGAGTTTCTGAGACCCCTGCATCACCAACATGATCAGTACTTTCATGAAAACCTGTAGTATGTGTTACAAGGGCAATGTTGTCATTTCTGCTGCAGCTGAGTAAGTTCAACCTGACAGCAAGAATGATGGTGCAAAAACGCCGTCACTGAGTCCATCCTCACCTCCTCCATCACCAGCTGGTACACTGCTGCCACTGCCAGGGACAAGAGCAGACTACAGTGTATCGTTCTCTCTGAGGAGAAGGTGATCTAGTTGCAATCTACCATCCCTTCAGGACCTTTACACCTCCAGGACTCTGAGGCCAGCAGGAAAGATTGTGGCTGACCCCTCCCACTTCAGACACAAACTGTTTCATCCCCTCCCCTACGACAGGAGACTGCAGTCCATCAGGACCAAATCCTCACACAACATGAACAGTTTCTGCCCATCTGCAGCTGGCCTCATCAACAAGGCCCGGGACCCCCACTGACACCGACTCTCACGCCCCCCTCCCTTTACAGTGAATATGTCAGTGAATATGTCAGTTATAATATTTATGTTAAAGAGGTGGTATTATGCTTCAAAATCTTATTTAGGGGTTGTACCAGAACAGGTTTACAGAAGAGCTTTGATTCAGCTACAACGGTCTGGGTATCTCTGGATAATCCGTAATTCGTCTGTAATACTAAAACGAAAATACCGTTTATCTGTTTTTTGTTTCAAAATGAAAAACCAAATAACCATTTTTGGTGTCAGAATCAAAAAACGAAAAACAAATTAAAATCGGCCCGTTTTTCGTTTTTGGCGATTCATTTTATAGTTATTTCTTTTTGAACAAAGAATGAAGAGAGTCTGTGGTCCGTGTATCTTTTGGTCATTTGATTTTCCTTTTAGAAACAGGTATTAAAAAACAAAAAACAAGTGGCTATTTGATTTTTGTTGTAATATACAAAAATTAAAATTAAAATACAAAGTATTTCTCTTTTTCAGTGTCAAAAATGAACAAGTGAAATATACAAAATAATTTGAGTTTCTTTTTCTTTTTTGAATAACAAAAAATAAAATCACCGGAAAACAGAAACAGAAAAAGGCTCGTTTGTTCGTATTCTAATACCGGATGTGGTCATTTCTGTGACAAGAGCGCCAAATTTGACAGGGTACCGGTGTTGTTGTAGCCCAGAATAAAATGTCTTTAGAACATTACTCAGCTATGATTTTAGACATGGCAAAACAAGGCCAGTCATCCACAGAAATCTCAGCGCAGATATCACAAGTAAGTGGGGGAGCAAGAGGATGTTCCGCAAGAAACGTGAGGAGATTTTGCAATGAAAATGGATTAAGTTTGATGGGACTCCCCGACGCACATTTGGAGTTGGAGGTGGCAAAAGCTATAACTGAGGTATGATCTTGCTTTATTTCCCTTTTGCTACAGGTTGTGTGTGTGTGTGTGTGTGTGTGTGTGTGCGTGTGTGAGCGTGTGTGAGAGAGAGAGAGAAAGAGAGCGTATGAGAACGAACATGCAGTAACATGCACACACCAGTATGTCCCGCATTTCTATGTCTTATCAAATTTGACTGGCATCTTTTATGCCCGTTTATTACGAATAGTAAATAAATCATAATAAATATCCTCAGGCTTCCACTATTAATAAATACTCACAGTCAACATAATCATCACAACACTGATACATTACAACAAAACGCAACCTGCACTGTCTAATTTCATGATATACATATACATCAGCTGGTATGATTTTGGAACGTGAAAATAATGTTATTTTCTAGACTGGACCTACATATGGAAGAAGGATGATGAAGGGGTATCTCGCCATGAAAGGAGTGCATGCTGCAGAGACACGAGTTGGATCAGTGCTCAGGACAATGCATCAGCCTTACCATGAAGCAAGACGTCAGGTCTGTTACTGTCTCATCTCTAATATTTTACACAATCAAACATGTGGAATTTATGTGTAAATATGAGCTGTGTGTGTGTGTTTTGTTGTTTGTTTAGCTGTAGTTACTTGTATAAGATTAAAAACGTACTGATATTTATAGTAAGCCTGTAATCAGAACAAATTATTTTCATTTCTTTGACAGATCTTCAACTGATGTAGTGTATATAGGAGTAATAGGATTTTATTTTTTGTGAAATAGTTACATCGTTTTCTTATCTCTCTTAGGGTGCCCGCAATCTCAACCCCATACCATATCGAGCTGATTACATGGGTCACAAGGTTCATTTGGACCAAAATGAAAAACTGGCTATGTTTGGGGTCACCCATGTTTTAGCCATTGATGGCTTCAGCAAAAAGGTTGTTGCTCATTCTACAATGCCTATAAAAAACTACCTTACCATCTATGAAGATGTTTTCAGGTAATAGCCAATGTATTATTGTGGACACTAAAGGAATTGTATACACATGACTAGCATCAGAATATGTAACTATATAATAACTTTTGAACATCTAATTATAAAGCATATTATATTGCAAATAAACAGTTAAGTTGGCAGTTTTGCACAACATAAAACTGACTTTTTCATCCGATAGGCCTGCAGTACTTGCCTATGGTATGTGGGACCAGGTGCGAGTAGATCATGGCAAGGAGTTTTATTTGACGCTCTTCATGCAAGAGTTGCTGTCATCTCACCGCCATAATCAGGAGCGAGGGCCTTATTTACAGACTTCATCCACAAGGGTACAGGGTTCCATACTTTGTTTGGTTGCTTCAGCAATACACTTGTATGCCTTTTCTTGCATACATGAGACAAATTGTCATTACTATTTCTATGCTTTAGGGCAATTAAATATAAAATTAACCATCGCCAAGAACAGGTTTCTTTTTAAAATCGGGTTATAGCTTAACAATAAATAACTGCAGAAGCAAGCACACTGGACTTAATTCAACCTTTATATTCTCGTTATGTGATGAGCATTGTGATTTTTGTTTTCTATTTGGGAAAATTCTCCTTATGCAGAATTCCTGGTAAAACTATAAATTTACTAGCTCAGCGGTCAATGTGCATAATGACTGCTGAGTTGGTAAATTTACAAATTTACTGGGAATTCTGCATGACCATTTTCCCCGAATAGACTATGTTTTATTTACCCACCAGAACAAACTGACTGATTACACATCTTTGTTGGAAATTCAGAATCATATAATTGAACGAATCTGGCCTGAAGTCAACAATCGTGTCAACTATCCACTGAAGACAGCACTTCTACAGTTGCTGGATCAAGAAGAAATAGACATGAGTGACAGCCTTGTGAGATATTGTGTGTCCAACCTGACTGGCCGCTTGTGTGAGATTGGTCTTACAAGGCTGGTGGAGTCATGGAATGCTCATCGAATCCCAGGTGAAATAAAACAGTGTTTCGAAGATTACAATAATTACAACAGGCATTCATCAGTTTCAAGACCAACAGTATGTTCTTTATTTTACAGGTAAAGGTATACCAGATGACTTGGCTGGCGGTGGGTGTCCCAAAAAAATCCCACAGGAGCTGTTGCCTCATTCAGCTGAAGCAGCAGACCTTTACAGCCAACAGCTGGGATCCTCACTGACCAGACATTCAACTTTTGGAGTTGATCCATTTTCAACTGAACAGGACAAGATTACAGTTGAGAACCAGTTTGCAGAGCAATATTCAGACATTTCAGACTTGTTCTCTAGAGCAGTAAACAATGACTTTGCTCCATACAAACAGGCATTGCTCTGTCTTATTTCCACAACTCAGCGCAATGTGTGAAAAGCCATTAGCTCTGTTTAACTTAGAGACTGTAAATTTGTAACAGGAACAATGAACATCGATATGGCATCATCCAGCCCAAACATGTAAATAAATTCACATCACTACTACAGCTCTGACCCACATTTTTGAACCTATAAAACAAACTCAAATACAACGTGGATTTTTTACCTATTTGTGGGTGTAAAAGTGCAAAATGTTACTCCTCTTCAAAAAGGGATCTCAGAACAGAAAATGCCTCTGACAGACCATTAATTTCAAATATGTTGCTGCCTGAGTGTTCCCTCTACATTTTGCACAGTGGTCTCCTGCCACTGTTCCACACATGTTTTGCAGCCAATAATGCTCCGGCAACACTGTGTAAAGACTGGCTCCTCAATGAATTCTAAAAGACAAAATGAGAAAAACTATTCATTCTGTGTGTTACTGTGTGTGTGTGTGTAGGTGTGTCCATACAACCTCAATGTGTTATTGATGTACTGGGTGACAATGTTTTCTTTTTACTCAGCCTAAAATGTCTTTGTTAATGTATCATTACACCATAGGCTGTTACACAAAGGTTCGCTTCAGTACATGTAATTGATTGTAGTGGATGAGACATAGGTGACCGGGGTTAGAGAACGTAATAATTTATGTGTATTTAGAAATTTCAAATTCTGGAACACACTACACAAAATGGATCCAAAATAAATGTTCATGTGGGACAATGACTATCTATTGTGTACTTACTCATACAAACAACACAGCAGAACCCTTGCTTGATGTTCTGTAGCTGGGAAGGAGTCAGGATCACTCTGTGAGTGGCAGCTACATTGGTGAGCTCTCTGATCGCTGAAGTGACATCTGGTAGGCTCTGTGATGCCAGCACAAGCTCTTCTATCTTCTCAGTGACCTCTCCAATGCCTGCAGCATCTTCATCTTTTCGGCTGTTACAAGGAAAAAACATAATAGATATATACTGGTTGTGTTTTAGCGGTTTTAGTAGAGGTAGCCAAATAAATCTTTGTCCCAAACACTATAGAAGCCACTAAAATACAGAAGCAGTAAAGGCCAAAGAGTTGGCAAACAGGTGCTGATTTGAAATCAAGTTTTTTCAATAGTCTGAACAACAAAGGTAAGGATAAATATAAAGAAACACAATGCATTTCAATCTTTGGACAAATAAGAGAAATATTAATACTTAAGATTACCTCATTCTCCTCCTTTTGGTGCCCTGCAACTCCTGGAAGCCCTGTTCTTGTACAGCAAGAATCTTTCGTGCATTTTGTTTCCAGTACTGTGACCCTTTACAGTGGGGGATGAAACCAGGAAAAACATTAAAACTTATTGTTGGTTAAGTTATCATGAGTTATCGTGTCCCATCTAATTTTAAATCACAGAAGTAAAGACTTAAAAGTAACCTGTTGTTCCTTCAGACTCCAAAATTGCATTCCCCTGCGCATCAGTCAATACCATGGGGTCATGACTTCCAATGGCATCTTGCACTTTTCCGATGATCCCCTGAAGGGTAGCCTCACATTCTAAAAACCGGACCACCACCATTCTGCTGGGACTCAACCTCCCACCAACCACATCAGCAAGAAAAATCGATCTGGAAGAATATCATATCAAAATAATCGTTATGAGACACACAGCATTCATAATCCTAGTAGTGGTTAATAGTCTTATGTATATCAACAATAACTGTAAAATGCGCTCAGGCTGTTCTTATTGTATCTTTGGGTTGACTGGTGTGAGAATGTAATCATCTCTTCCTTGTGTTACGTCCCACCCTTTGGTGGCAACATGGGACGAACAACATCCCAACACTGACCCAAACTCAACACAAATAAACACCTTTAAAACAACCAAATCAAGTGAATTTATTAACATAACTAGACAATAAATTAAGGACACCAAAAACACAACACAAAAATGCCCCAGCTGGGAAGCAGCAAGGCTAGCAGTACCAAATCAAGAAGGGTCCCCTCCTGACACTTGCACAGCAGCTTTTAAAGCCCGCCTTCAAAGGCCAGGTGGACCTTATTCGGTAATTAGCTGGAGCACTCCCAGAACAGAACTGAAAGACAGAAAACATGGACACAGCACAGGGAAATACATACAGCCGTAACACTTGGCTCAGGACCAAACAATAAACAAAGTTCCATGTAAATACATTCATAACATTTTGCATAAGCTTGCTGACAAACAGACACTGCAAAAACATAACCCCCGCCACTTTCTGGGCAGAAGTTATGAAAGTCAGGGGGAAATGTTAAAATGTTCAGAATAATGTAAATGAAATGTACAACTATTACACTACAACTACAAAGGAGTGAAAGAATGGCAACTGAAGTATATCATATCAAATGTGAAGTAGGTGTTTTGCAATTATATCTGACTATTTTTAATACTTCCAATCCTGTAATTTGTACATTTAAAATTATAAATCGTATCACCGTTATTTAAGAAGTTACCTTTGAAATGTTTTAGAGACAGTGGCTCTGGAGGGGGCTGAGGCAGCGCGCTGCGCAGCTGGACTAGAAGTAGTCGCAGGTGTTCGCATGAAAGTGAAACGTTGAGCTGTGGTATTTGAAGCTGATGAGGTGTCGTCCTCCTCACCGTGAACCTCATAGTGAGCTCTTGGAGTAAGGTCCAATGTGCTGAAAACACCAGAGGCTCCAGGAAAAATTGCCACATTTGCGTCGTCAGTCATGTAGAGACTATGAGTTGAGACCTGTCAAGAAATTCATACGTCAAATAACCGCAAGTGTTTATTTCCAACCATTTCTCAATTAATATTTTTCAGTGACTACTGAGAGGTAACTTATTAAAATGCTAATGTTAACGTTAAATCTGTAAGTGACTAGATAGCGTTGCATATAACGTTAACGATAATAGATAATTCAAAACGAGGCGTAGCTACTTCTGACTGTCCACTAAAGTTAGTCAACACCTCCACTAACTTTAATGGGGGTAACGTTAGGCTAGCCTCACTAAAATCTTTGTATGATGATATTTTGTGTGGCATGTCAGCCTTTTACGGCTGAAGCATAGGTGAACGGCCACGCCAAATAAGAAAGATGGTCTTGATGTAACGTAAACTTATCTATCAACAAGTTAGCTAGCTAACGTAGTAGCTATAGCTCATAGCTAGCTAACTTATATCTTAATATATTTTTTACCTGGAAAATGCGACTTAGTTTTTCTGCAGTCATGTCTTCTTCCCTGAGACAGACTCTTTTATTGTTTCGGAAAACAACGTATTGTTCCATGTCCATGCGTCACGCTCTCACGCTCAATTACACAGGCAGCACGTACTTTTTTCGACACAGCTCCGTCCTCATTGGCGCTGTTGTCACGTAAATGACCACATCCGGTCTCGGAATATGAACAAACGAGCCTTTTTTCGTTTTCTCTTTTAAAGTAATTTTATTTTTTGTTACCTGAAATAGAAAATTAAACTAAAATTATTTTTTAAAATATCACTCATTCATTTTTGACACTGAAAAAGAGAAATACTTTGTATTTTAATTTTAATGTTTGTATGTTAAAACAAAAATCAAATAGCCACTTGTTTTTTGTTTTTTAATACCTGTTTCTAAAAGGAAAATCAAATGACCAAAAGATACACGGACCTCACAGACTCTCTTTATTCTTTGTTCAAAAAGAAAGAACAATAAAATGAATCGCCAAAAACGAAAAACGGGCCGATTTTAATTTGTTTTTCGTTTTTTTATTCTGACACCAAAAATGGTTATTTGGCATAGATATTAGTAGATGCAGTTTCCTTGCAAAAAGTTACAGCGGGTCTGGATCCAGCTTTTAAAAAGTAACTTAACACGGATGACCAAGAAATCAACTCCCTGGTCAGTTATCACATCATCAGAGTATCGCAAAATAAATGTTTGCTTTACGAGGGAAAATATATAACTAGTCGTCTTGTTTAGACATTCAGTGGAATGA